CATAATAGCTGCCATTCTGACTGGAGTGAGATGAATCTTAGAGTAGTTTTGATTTGCATTTCTCTAATTGCTAGAATGATGGGAATTTTTTCATATTTGTTGATTGATTTCATGTTCTCTTCTGAGAAGTGTCTGTTCATGTCCTTGGCCCATTTGTTGACTAGGTTTTTTTTTTTTTTTGTGCTTAGCTTGGTGAGTTCTTTATATACCCTCAAGATTAGTGTTTGATCTGATGTGTGAGGGGTAAAGTTTCACTCCTAGGATGTAGGCTTTCTGTTCACCTCACAAATTATTATTATTATTATTTTGCTGAGGAAAAACTTTTTAGTTTGAATCCATCCCATTTGTTGATTCTTGTGCTATAGGTTTCTTATTAAGGAAGTTGGGGCCTAACCCCACATGATGAAGATTAGAGTCTACTTTTTATTCTGTTAGCTGCATAGTCTCTGCTTTAATTCCTAGGTCCTTGATCCACTTTGAGTTTTGTGCATCTGAGTTTTATCTTATATTGTCTAATATAAGATAATTGTAGTTTTGTGGGTCAGTCTGTTTCCTCTATTCTGTACCATTGGTCTACCCTCCTGTTTTGGTTCCAGTACCATGCTGTGTTTTTTTTTTTTTTTTTTACTATTGCTCTGTGTTATAGTTTAGGGTCTGGTATAGTGATGCCACCTGTTCTGCTCTTCCTGCTTAGAATTACTTTAGCTATTCTGGGTCTCTTATTTTTCCAGATGAATTTCATGATTGCTTTTTCTATTTCTATGAGCAATGTCATTGGGGTTTTTATTGGAATTACACTGAACCTGTATAGTTATTTTGTTAGTATGGTAATTTGGATAATTTTAATTCTGCTTCTCCAGGAGCAAGGTACATCTTTTCATCTTCTAAGGTCTTCTTTGATTTCTTGCTTTAGGGTTCTGTAGTTCTCATTGTATAGATCTTTCACCTCTTTTGTTAAGTTGATTCCCAAGTACTTTATCTATTTATCTATTTTTTTGAGGATCTTGTGAATGGGTAGTTTTCCTCATTTCCTTCTCAGAGGACTTGTCAGTGATATACAGAAATGCCTTTGATTTATGTGTGTTTATTTTATATCCTGCTACTTTGCTGAATTCATTTACTAGTTCTAGAAGTTTTCTGGTGTAGTTTTTTTGGGTCTTCTAGGGATAGAATCCAATTGTCAACCAATAGTGCTAGTTTAAGTTCTTCTTTTCCTATACTTTTCCTTTAATTTCTTTCATCTAATTGCTTTGGCCAGTGTCTCAAGAACTATATTGAATAGAAGTGGTGAGAGAGGGCATCCCTGTCTTGTTCAATATTTAGAGGGAATGCCTTCAGTTTTTCTCGATTGAGAATGATGTCGGCCTGAGGCTTAGTGTAGTGTAGACAGCCTTTAGAATGTTGAGAGATGTCCTTTATCCCTATTTTTTCTAGTGTTTTGAACATGAAGGGGTGCTGTATTTTGTCAAATGCTTTTCTGCATCTATTGGGATGATCATATGGTTCTTTAAGTCTATTGGTGTGATGAATTACATTTATTGATTTCTGTATTTTGAACCAACCTTGCATCCTGGGGATGAATCCCACTTGATCATGGTGCACGATATTTTTGATATCTTTTTGTATTTGATTTGCCAGAATTTTATTGAGGATTTTTGCATTTATATTCATTAGAGAGATTGGTCTGAAGTTTTCTTTCTTTGAAGTGTCTTTGCCTGGTTTTGGGATCAGGGTGATATTGGCCTCGTAGAATGAATTTGGAAGTACTCCCTCTTTTTCTATTGCCAGAAATAGGCTGAAGAGTATTGGTATTACTTCTTTAAAGGTCTAGTAAAACTTGGCTGCATATCCATCCAGTACTTGGCTTTTCTTGGTTGGGAATCTTCTGATGGCTTCTTCTATTTCCTCACTTGATATTGGTCTGTTTAAGTTGTGTTATATCTTCCTGACTCAATCTGGGCGGATCACATGACTTAAGGAATTTATTGATGCCTTCACTAACTTCTATTCTATCAGAGTATAAGCTATTCGAGTATACGGTTTCAAAATAATTTCTAATTATCCTTTGTATTTCTGTAGTGTCTGCTGTGATATTGCCTTTTTTATGACTTCTGGTAATTTGATTTCTCTGTCTCTTTGTTAGCATGGCTAAGGGTCTGTCAATTTTATTTTTTTTCAAAGAACCAACTTTTAGTTTTGTAAATTTTTTCAATTGTTTCTTTTGTTTCAATTTCATTGGTTTCAGCTGATTTTTTTTTCTTGTTTTCCTGCTGATTTTTTTTTTCTTTTTCTAGGGCTTTGAGATGTAATGAGGTCATTTATTTGTTGGCTCTTTCTATTAAGTTCTTTCTATTAAGGAATGAACTCCATGCAATGGATTTTCCTCTTAGTGCTGCTGTCATAGTGTCCCAGAGATTTCGATATGTTGTGTCTGTATTTTCATTTATAAGAATTTTTTAATCTCCTCCTTGATGTCTTCTGTAACCCATTGTTCATTCTGTAGCATTTTCGTCCTTATTGATTTCCAATTTCATTCCATTATGATATGATAAAATGCATGGTAGTATCTCTACTTCTTTGTATTTGCTAAGAGTTGCCCTGTGGCATAATATATGGTCTATTTTTGAGAAGAATCCATGTGCTACTGAGAAGAAAGTTTATCCACTTGATATTGGTTGATATAGTCTATAGATGTCAATTAAGTCTAAGTTATTGATTGTGTTATTGAGTTCTATAGTTTCTTTATTCAACTTTTGTTTGGAAGATCTGTCCAGTGGTGAGAGGTGTGTGAAAGTCACCCAAGATCATGTTGTGGTCAGTTTGACTCTTGAACTTGAGAAGAGTTTGTTTGAACATAGGTGCACCATTGTTTGGGGCATATATATTTGATTGTTATGTCTTGTTGGTGATGGTTCCCTTGAGCAGTATGTAATGTTCTTCTTTATCTCTTTTGATTAACTTTGACTTGAGTCTACTTTATTTGATATTAGTATGGAGACCTGCTTGCTTTCAAGATTCATGTAAGTGGAATGTTTTTCCCAACCTTTCACCTTTAGTCTGTCTTTTCCTATCAAATGAGTCTCCTGGAGGCAGCATATTGTTGGATTTTTTTTTTAATCCAGGCTGCTAGCCTATGTCTTTTGATTGGTGTGGTTAAGCCACTAACATTTAGGGTTGCTATTGAGACAGTTTGTATTTACAGCCATCTTTGTTTATTTTTGCTAGTTGAAGTGTTAATTATTGTTTAATTTTTAATTTGTACCTACATATAGGATCCAGCATTTTAATTGAACATGTGTATTGATCAAATCGGTGCAATTTCTACCTTCTAAAATATCATTTGGTTGTTTGAAACCTGCAAAATCTTGTTAGAATGTCCAGAGTCTAATAATTACTTATACAATTCAAACTATGGGCTATAAAACCCTCTTAACTGCTTTTCGGCACTCCTTGCCAACTGTCTCTTCTAACAGATACAAAAAGCTTTTCTCTTTTGTGGTTCTTTGTGATCAACTTTTTTAGCCTCAACATATGAGTGTAAACATACAGGATTTGTAAAATATGAAAAATCACTAGAAAAAGACAATCTCCCATGGTAAGTCCAGAAAAAAATATAAATTTAAAAATTGTAAAATATAATCCCAGTGCCTTGGGAGGCTAAGACAGGAGGATGGTGAGTTCAAATCCAGCAATAGCAAGGCCCTGAGCAACTTGGTGAGATGCTGTCTCTAAATAAAATATAAAATAGGAGTGGGGATGTGGCTCACTGGTTGAGTGCCCCTGAGTTTAATCCTTGGTACCCCCCAAAATATTTTAGGGTTCACATTTAATCACTAGGCCTTAGGTCTTTTTTGGTGAGATCTATATATAAATGGCATATGCCAATTCTTATTTGTATAATATTTGACTTATGTAAAATATTTTTTATAGTATAAGCTTAAATAGATCTATATTAGCATGTAAAAATAACTTAAAATTGTTTTAGGTGAGGCTGAATGCCTGCAATCCCATTGGCTCAGGAGTCAGAGGATTGGAATGCCAAAGCTCAGTAACTTAGCAAGATTTTCCTCCAATATAAAAAGTGGCTGGTGAGATAGTTTAATGACTAAGTGCCCTGGGTTCAATCTGTGGTATACAAAGGAAAGAAACAGGGTTTTAAAATTGCCTTGTCTCAACACCAACAAAATGAAAAACTGTATTTAAAATGAAAAACTGCATTGTATCACTTTTCTGTGACACACAGAATCTGCTTTAATTTGTTTTAAACATTTGAATCCTACACAATCCAAGTTTTCTAACACTCATTAAATGACATGTTTTAATCACGTGCATCTCAAGGCCATTGGATGAATTTAAGGTGTGACTGAGGAATCTGCAGTCATACCTACAGGAGTGTGCAGGTGCCATGAATTTGCAGTAATAGTCAAGAACTCATGGATGGATTGTTCATTGCCTTGAAACTGTTGGAAAATTGTTTTCTGATGGTAAATTTCAATAACTGTATCAGGAAAAATTTAGACCCTTTCCTGATAGTATGCTTCAAAGAAAGGGACACAATTTCATGCAATAATGAAGAGAACTAATCTTCATACAGGTAGTTCCAGGAGAAAGCAGTCTGCAGGATGACCAATCTCCAGTTTTGAACTACAATCATATCACTAAATAATGACCATCAAGTATATGATTAAAATTGTGTACATATATCATGTAAATAATGAGGAGAACTAATCTTCATACAGGTAGTGCCAGAAGAAAGCCCAGTCTGGTGATTCTACTAGCTCCAGTTTTGAACCACAATCATCACTAAATGATGTGCATCAAGTATGATTAAAATTGTGTAAATATATCATGGTAGTGTTGTGAAGAGATATCTATAGTAATGTGCCTGCTGAGTTTCATTGTTAAGAAGCATCCTGGAGAATGGGAATGATTCATAGATGACTGAAATCCTGAGCTATGTACCTTCCCAGCTGTGCACATTATGCCTGGCACAACATAGTCCAGGAGATCATGAGACATAACACAAGCTCTCTGATATCAGGGAGGTAATCTGAGAAACACCCCTCAAACAAGGGTCTATGGAGTGATGCTTCCAGCTTGGTCCAGGAATGCCCTATCGTACTGGGCACTCATGTCCTTTATGCACTGGAGAAATCAAGCTGCCTCCCAGCTTGATTGGGCATTCTGTGTGGAAGGATGTGTAAATCACAGGGAATCAAACAGATTTCCGACATTGATTACATTTGAAGAATTCACATATGGTAAGAGGAAGAAAAGGCCAAGTGAGGAGATGAGAAAAAACAGATCACACATGAAAAAGAAATTTTCAAAAAAAAAAATCAGAAGTTTTGTTTGTTAGAGCTGATAGTAAAGACTCCCTCTAGTATCTGGATCCAGGAAGGAGTCATGTTAGATATGGTGCTGTCACTAAAGTCAGGGGAGGCTGTGTGATACATGCACCATCATCTGTGTTGCAACCATCTAGTGAGGACTGCTCAGGCAGTGGACACGAGCTGGTGGTCAGGACAGATGTAGAGAGAATTACAGGAGAAGGACACCCTGCTGCATGTTAGGGTTATTTGGATCCTCTGGGTGGGCACATTCTAGGGTGAAAGTGAGAGGAAGAAACATCTCTTCTCCCGTATGCACTGTGAGCACCATCCTGCTCATAGGGGTGACAGATCCTATTTCCTCAACCCTTATCAACTCAAGTGCACACTTACAGCTTGCGGTTGTCCTCATCACAGAGCTCAGCTTCACCACTACTGCCAACCCTCCCCATGTCCCCTTGGTATTCGGTAACATAAAAACAGACAAAAGGGAGATGGAGAATTGAGACTGGACTTGCTTCAAGCAAGTAGGATTGGGACTGATGTCAGCCTCGGCAGAAACCTCTGACCTGTGGCTCTTTGTGTGCTGGGAATCTATGAAGAGCACTAGGAAGAAATGACTGCCACCTCAGAGAGGGCAACACCATCACCCAGCACCTCTGCTTCAACACACACCCTCCAGTAACATGATGAGCAAACCCTAGGCAAGACATGACTGAATGAATGGCAGCTCTTTGTGAGAAGTAGAGGTGAGATCCGTGGGTTGCTTTTGTAAATTGTCAGGGTTTGAAAATACAGCTCAGGGTTCACACTTACATCTATGGTATTTATATTACTATTATTTTAAATATGTCCTGAGAAAGGCCACTAGAAGAGAAATTGTTCTTTAAAGTCAAGAAAGAAAGCCTCAGAAGTGCTTCTCTGTGGGGACGAGTGCATGGAGTACTGCATACAGGGCATAGGTTAAGGGTGTCTGCATGGCAGGCCACTCCCCATGCTAGGCGTGTGAGTGGCAAACTGCTTACCCCATCGGCACAGCTCTGGGCACGAGGCCATGTGTTGCAGTCCCACTCCTTGATTGTTCACTGCAAGGACTGTTAGCAGACATTGCATTGGTGGTTGCCTATATTTTGCTTAGGCACTGCCTGAGTACATATACATGGTAACTGCACAATAAAATCAGACCTGCTTCCTGCTTGGTGTCTGGAGGTCTTGATTAGAGACTCCACAGCCACACTCTCCTCTACTCTGTTCTGTGGACCTCCTCAGGGTACGAGAGAGCCCATGCACTTCTCTACAGACCCCAAGCTCTCATTAGGGGGAAACCAAAATGTTCCTACAGGAGGGTCTGTTTTCCTGACTGATATTGCGATGGAAGATGTTCCAGTTGTAGAAATAAGAAGATAGTTCTTAATCACCACCATTATCAACATGTGAAGGGTTAGTACAGGCATGATAATGAATCAAACATTTGTTCTTTCTAGAGGTAACTGGAAATTTGGACTAAATGGAAATATATAAAATGAAAACTAATATCCACAGACAGAAATTCCACATGGATGGGCTGAAGGATGTTGTAAAACTGAAGACAAAAGTCACAATAATTGCCAAAGCATGAGAACTCCAAAACCACATGAGAGGGAAACATAAAATAGGAAGAGTGCAAGTCGTTGAACAAGTATTTCAGTATACACACAGTTAGGCAAGACACATCAAGGGCGGAGGAAAAGTATCCCCTCAGGCAGCCCCTATCCTGGACCAGCCACATGAAAGTTTTGAGCCTCTGACATGGGCTCTGCCTTAATCCATGGCATGGCCCAATGATCATCAAGGTGCCACCTGAAATACTGTCCCTCATATACACTCGCCTCCTGGGAGGCTTCTGGAATGAGCATGGCAGAGGGTTGGTGAATACTCCTAACTTTGTGGAGCCAAGAAGAGCTCTCTTTGGAGAGGAGGAGAATTGCAGACCACACCTTTATTGTAATGTGGACCCCTAACTAGGCGCTGTTGAATCCAATCTCTTTGTGTAAGTTGCCCTGATTTTTAATAAAGAGGAAAATAATTTCATCTCTAATTGTGAGGATTAGGCCACAATACACTGAACAAGTGGGTTCCAATCAGTTAAGGAAGGCTCTCTTAGGAGCTAGGCATGGTGGCACATGCCTGTAATCTCAGCAGCTTGGAAGGCTGAGGAAGGAGGATGATGAGTTCAGAGCCAGCCTCAGTGAAAGAGATTTACTAAGCAGCTCAGTGAGATCCTATCTCTACATAAAATAGGGCGAGGGATGTGGCTCAGTGGTTGAGTGTCCCTGAGTTCAAACTTCATTGTCCCCCATAAAAAAAAAAAAGAATGGGGAGTGTTTCGGGCTTTGGATTTATAACAGCTTTCACGGAGGTTCTAAAATGTAGAACTAATATAGAGTAAGTGTTCTGGGCCAAGCTCTGGAGTGGATGTGCATGCATTTGAAATCAGACTTTTATATATTTTTATATATATAATAGATTTGATGTTGATCTACTGATGGAATATTTCCTACACAAGGCATGTATGTGCTTTAATTAAAGAGTCTGAAATTGTAGCTTCAGATTGTTTGAAATATATATCTACTTATTGAAAAATAACAGTCATCAGAAAATCATGCATGTCAAGCTAGATCATTTCATGACCCTTTAGAACATGTAGATCTATAAGGCAAGATAGTAAGAGAAACAATAAAAGTGAAACATTCAAGAAATTGGGATGCCATTTAAAAATCTGAGGTAAATATTAAGCCATAATCTGACATCCATAACAGGACCCCTACAGCACAAGAATTAAAAATCAAGAATCAATAAATGGGATAGATTCAACCTAAAAAGCTGCTTCTCGGCAAAAGAAACAATAATGTGAAGAGAGAACCTACAGATTTGTGTAAAATCTATACCACATATACCTCAGATAAAGCATTAATCTCTAAAGAACTCAAAACTTAATTGGTTTTTTGTTGTTGTTTGAATTAACAAATGGGCTAAGTAACTGAACAGACACTTCTCAGGAAGAAATATAATCCATTAACAAGTACATGAAAAAATGTTCAACACATCTAGCAATTAGGAAAATGTAAATCAAAATTACTTTAATTTTTTATCTCACTTTAGTCAGAATGGCAAAGATTAATACAGGCAACAATAAATGTTGGTGAGGATGTGGGGGAAAAGGAACACTCACACATTACTCATGGGACTGACTGCAAATTTGTGCAACCACCATGGAAAGCAGTATGGAGACTCCTTGCAAAACCAGAATGGAACCACCATTTGTCCCAGCTATCCCTGTCCTCGGACTATACCCAAAGGACTTAAAAACAGCATACAACAGGGACACAGCCACACCAAGGTTTATAGCAGCACAATTCACAACAGCTAAACCCTAGAACCAACCTAGGTTTCCTTCAACAGATGAATGGATAACAAAATGTGATTATATATATTCCCCCCACCAAGGGAATATTATTTAACCTTAAAGATGAATGAAACTATGGCATTTGGTGGTAAATGGATGGAGTTGGAGAATATCATGCTAAGTGAAATAAGCCAACACACACGCCAAATGTTTTCTCTGATAAGTGGATGCTAACTCACAATGAGGGGTGGGGAAGAATAGTTACTATAGAATAAGTAGAGAGGAGTGCAGGGAGGGGAGGGGATATGGGGATAGGAAGGATAGTAGAATGAAACAGACATTACATATAATATAATATATACATATATATGGATGTTAAACCACTCAACAACGGTGGGGGAGAGAATAGAAATTCACTAGATTAGACAAAGTTGGAATGAAGGGAAGAAAAGGGAAATAGAAATGACAGTAGAATGAATCAGAAACAACTTTTCTATGTTTACATACAAACACACCACCAGTGAAGGTTCACACCATGTACAGCTCAAGAATAGAATGCTAACTAAAATAAGTTTTACTCCATGTATGTGTAATATGTCAAAATTTGCTCTACTGTCATGTATACCTAAAAAGAATAAGAAATTTTAAAAATGATGACGGAAAATTTGTATACAGAGAAGTTTTGTGAGTTAAAAACTCTTCAATAAATGCTAATGTCATTAAGGTTAAATAAAAGTACCTTGAGCCCATACAAAATAACAAACATTGGTAAATAGAGTTGCCCAAGTCAGTCTGTGCAACTATCTATTATCACAAAATTTTTGGTTTGCAACTCTTTTCTATTTGTTTTACAAAGCAGCACAAGAACAATACTTACAAGTTTACTAGAAAGAAAACATTACATAGCAGTGTTATGAATACTATTAATAGTTCTGTGTGCACTCAAGAAAGCATTCTCAATTTCCTCCCGCATGCAATAAAAAATCATGCAGTTGAAAGATACACTAGTTACTGATTAGATAACACATACATGTGTTTGTGACATTCAGTATGTGGGCAGCTGCTCAACTTGGCAGGTCAGGTCCAATAGATAAGGACAACACTCTCTTCATACCAGACAGTGTTTCTTTGAGTAATACTTTTGCTTTCTCTTGCTTTCATAGTAACAGACACAGGCAACTGTATTGTCAGACTAGGAAAACCCCAACACTGAACCTATGTACTGGAAAGTCCCAAACAGCTTTTCAGGGTCCTGACTGGGAAGTCCTGGGCAGAGCATCATCTCCACAGGTGAGAGTCTGAATTATTGTTCTAACTTGTATTTAAAGTGGGGCTGAATAAATACAAGTTAGAAACGGCTTGCATCTCCTAGTGATCTCCTGAAGAACACTGTCAATAACAGGTAAGATCCCAAGGAGGGAGTGATAGCCTTGAGATGACCAAATAAATTGGGGTTCCAATGATTGAGCCACAGAGCCAGATGTATTGAGAAATCAGCAATATTTACCTGTTTCATAAAGGATATGCAGACTCATACAGGCACATGCAAAGGGAAGATCTTTAGTATTTTCCTTAGACCTCTAGTACTGAATCTTCCCTCTGGGCCTAATAATAGTTAACTCTCACATGTAAAATGAAGCCAGTTCTGTGTAAAATAACATGGCGTGGAGATAAGCATGAAACCTAGAGAGTTACCTCTTGGAATAAAGAATGGTGTGAATATTATTCTCCTAGAATTTATCATTTCAATATTTAATTTTTCCACATAAAGTTAAATGAAATGTTTTTGGATGGTGTTTTCTTGACCCAAAGACATGCAGAGAATATTGTGTTTTTACTTTTTGAACAGGACTTGTTTATTTCAATCAAAATTGTATTTCTCTCTCTGTGGTGTCATGGGCTCCTGGAGCTGTAAGATCTGAAGAGGGACAGGGTTAGTTTATAGTATCTTATAATTACTGGGTTGTAGAGGGGTCTGGGAGACCATGACACATGCTATCTATCGTATAATCCAATAAGTATAACAAACATTACATTGTAAGTAAGTAGAACGAAAACGGTCTACAAAAATCAAAATATATAATGAAATGAAAAATGTGGGGGCATAAATGCTCCTATAGTATGTCTTTTTATTTTTACAGTCATCATTTTACATGTATCTGGTTACACTTTTCTACTGGGTATCCAAGACTAAAGAGGTGGTCCTATATTGTGATGTATTTCCAACATTTGAGGTCAGTACAGTCTCCTCAGTGATGACTCTCATAGAATTCATGAGCAACTGCAAGGTTTCTTCAGTCCAAAAATCAGGATGGGCCTTTGGACCAGGATTTTCCCCAGGAAACAATGAGACTATTTCCCCCTTCTGTAACCCTCCTTTTTCTACCTGAATATGCACATTGGCTTCTACTCTCTTGGGTCTTTCTCATCTCCCTGATTGGGAGCTTGTATAACTCTTCAGTTTTGTAGATCCCTTAGGGAGTACTGCAACTCTACAAGGTGAAATGTTAAAGTTGTAATTCAAACTAGGGATATCTGGGCATTGTTTTAGTATTCCTAGGTCCTTCCTGTACCTTAATTTTTGCATAATTAGAAACAGAGTATATAATTACATAAATATTCCCCAAATAAAAGTTGATTAAACATATGAAATAATCCATGGAGACGATATAGAATTATTTACCCAATAGAATGTTTTGCTATATTTGATCCATTAGCAAAGTGAATATTGGGGGGTATGTGACCTAATAATGTCATTAAATGCATGACAAGGTTAACATTAAGAAAATCACTTTATTTAGTAACATATTTGCCTTACGGATGCAATTTAAGTAAAAATGCTCTGTAAAACGGGCATGGTGGTCCATGCCTGTGACCCTAGGGACGTGAGAAGCTTTGAAAGTTAAAAGCCAGGCTCCATACCTTGGTGAGGCCCTAAACAACTTAGCAAACCCTATCTCTAAATAAAAATGAAAAAAAATTTGTGGATGCAGTTTACTGATTAAGTGTCCCTAAGTTTAAGTACAAAAATAAAAACTAAAAATTTAAAATTTCATATAAACATTGAGACTTCTGTAATAATCAACATTGAGAATTGTTTTCTCCAGCTGTGAAAAATGAGACTCTTTAGTAATTGTTGATTTATAGTAAAATTATATCCTTTTAGGGATGCACTATTCTGTATTTGTATTTCCTTATTTCTACACTATCAGCTAAAGAGGTTAAGAAAATTTTCAGCAAATGTCAAAAGCAATTACCCATTTTCTACATTTAAATGATTTTTTCCCCCCTAGGTCCCAAATACTTCAAGGGATGGGCTATAGCTAAGAAATTTACTACAAATTTTTATACTTGTCAAAGTGTTTTTGTAAATATTTTGCTGTTATCTAAGGTACATACTTTGGACAAATGGTATTCCACATTTTCTCCAGGTATGAGGTAAGAAACTGAAAAATGTCTGAAATTTGAATACAGTCATGTACACATTCTTTGGGTTTCTATATGGTATAAATCCTCCAGTGTTGCAAAAAATTTTTCCACATGTCCTCTTACTTGTATGAATTCTGAGGTGTTGAGTAGGGTGTGAACAACTGTTGGAGACTCTGACACCTATTTTACACTTGTATAATTTCTGTGCTATCATCTCTCTGGTGTGAAATAGTGTTGAACTACTGTGAAATAAGGGTTGATTCATCGTTAAAGACACTGATGCAATGTTTTCCTTGTAAAACTTCTCTCCAGTATAAATTCTATAATGTTACTAAGATGTGATCTTCAATTTTAAAAGCTTTGCCATTCTTCACATTTATAGGACTTCTCTCTAGGATGGGTTTTCTGGTGTTGAGTAAGTGATGATTTTTGATAAAAATCCCTGCCACATTCTTCACATTTGTACGGCTTCTCACCAGTATGAATCCTCTTGTGGCAACTAAGACGTGAGATGGTATTAAAAGCTTTGCCACACTCTTCACATTTGTAGGGCTTCTCTCCAGTGTGGATTCGCTGGTGCTGATTAAGTGATGATGATTGATTAAAACGCTTGTCACACACTTTACATTTGTAGGGCTTCTCTCCAGTATGAATCCTCTTGTGGCAACTAAGATGTGAGATGGTATTAAAAGCTTTGCCACACTCTTCACATTTGTAGGGCTTCTCTCCAGTGTGGATTCGCTGGTGCCGAGTAAGTGATGTTTTTTGACTAAAAGTTTTGCCACACTCTTCACATTTGTAGGGCTTCTCTCCAGTATGAATCCTCTTGTGGCAACTAAGTTGTGAAAATTTATTAAAAGCTTTGCCACATTCTCTACATTTGTAGGGCTTCTCTCCAGTGTGGATTCGCTGGTGCTGAGTAAGTGGTGTTTTTTGACTAAAAGTTTTGCCACACTCTTCACATTTGTAGGGCTTCTCTCCAGTGTGGATTCGCTGGTGCTGAGTAAGTGATGTTTTTTGACTAAAAGTTTTGCCACACTCTTCACATTTGTAGGGCTTCTCTCCAGTATGAATCCTCTTGTGGCAACTAAGTTTTGAAAATTTATTAAAAGCTTTGCCACATTCTCTACATTTGTAAGGCTTCTCTCCAGTATGAATCCTTTTGTGATAATTATGCTGTGAGGCACTATTAAAAGCTTTGCCACACTCTTCACATTTGTAGGGCTTCTCTCCAGTGTGGATTCGCTGATGCTGAGTAAGTGATGATATGTGATTAAAACTCTTGTCACACACTTTACATTTGTAGGGCTTCTCTCCAGTATGAATCCTCTTGTGGTTATTAAGATGTGAGTTTGTTTTAAAACTTTTGCCACACTCTTCACATTTGTAGGGCTTTTCTCCAGTATGAATCCTCTTGTGATAATTATGGTGTGAGATGCTATTAAAAGCTCTGCCACATTCTGTACATTTGTAAGGCTTCTCTCCAGTATGAATCCTTTTGTGATAATTATGGTGTGAGATGCTATTAAAAGCTTTGCCACATACTTTACAGCTGTAGGGCTTCTCTCCAGTGTGAATTCGCTGGTGCCGAGTACGTGATGATATGCGATTAAAACTCTTGCCACACATTTTACATTTGTAGGGCTTCTCTCCAGTATGAATCCTGTTGTGGCAATAGAGATATAAGATGCTATTAAAAGCTTTGCCACACTCTTTACACTTGTAGGGCTTCTCTCCAGTGTGGATTCGCTGGTGATGAGCAAGTGATGATTTTTGACTGAAACTTTTGCCACACTCTTTACACTTGTAGGGCTTCTCTCCAGTATGAATCCTGTTGTGGCGATCAAGATGTGAGTTTGCGTTAAAACTTTTGCCACACACTTTACATTTGTAGGGTTTCTCTCCAATATGAATTCTCTGGTGATTTTTAAGGCTTGGTTTTTGACTGAAAGCTTTGCAAAATTGTTTACATATGTGGGGCATCTCTCCAGTGTATGTCCACTGGTAACAAATAAGATTGGAGCTTTTATTTGAAGTTTTTTCACATTCTTTACATGGCATATCTCCTGTATGAACACTGTGATGTTGAATGAAGTTCTTCAGTATGTTGCATTCTTCACATTGGCAGGTCTTCGCTGCAGAATAAATTTTTTGGTGTTGAGTAAAAGTTGAACAATCTTTTAAGGCTTTGCTATACTTTTTACATTTACATGTCTTCAGTATAAATCCCCTGAAGTTTAACCAGTTGTAACCTTTCACTAAAGGTTTTTCTGCTTTCTTTTAAATTTGTAGGTTTTATCACTGTCAAAGTATCTGCTGTGTTTAAAGAATATATGAAAGTATCGGCTTGCTCAACATCTTCTAAACTTATAGGGCTCGCCTTCTCTATAAATTCTCTTGTATTGAGCAAGCTCTGCACTGTCATTAAGAGCCCTTTCACATACCTTACACTTGCACATTTTGTCTTGACTATGAATATTTGGATGAGTAATAGCTTCTGAGCACTGAAGCAAGACTTTCCCACATTTTTCATTTTGGTAAATTTCCTTTAGAAAATGACTAGGAGTTTCTCTATATTTGTAATTTTTATCAGCAATGTAAATATCCTGGTAATTACTCAGGGTGGAGACATGGCTAATGGTGTTACTTTATAGCGCACTTTCCAGAAATCTGTATCAGAATTGTCATTGAGCAATAGAGGGGAAGTAGGAACCTTTCTACAATTCTTAATATTGTCTACTTGGGCACAAGGAGAAATAACTGTTTTGTTGCAGGAAAAGGGACATTTTGTAAAGAAACTCTCCAAAGTATCACTTAAGAAATTTGTCTTAAATATCTTCTCTGTGCGAATGTTTGACTGGAAGTTTAATTTAGTGCTACATTAATAATTGGCCAAGTTAAAAACTGATGCATGGACCAGATTTCTTTTCAAATTTTCCACATTTACTTTCAGAGGAAATATAGTCTTTAAAATGGCTGTGGTATATTCTTAAAGACATATAAAGCTCCTCAAAAGTAAGTGGAATAAATTGATTTTTTTTTTTCAGATATTAATTGTTCCTGGTGTCTTTTGACCATAAAATTTTTATCATAAATAGGAACTAGTAATTAGGTTTGTCCATTATAATATGATTTTTTAAACTTTACTCTCACCTATATTTTCCCATTGTTTTCTTAGTTGTAAATAGTGAAGGTCACTCTTTCCATATCTTCCCTCTCTCTCTTTTATTCCCTGCTCTGGTAAAATTTCTTGAGGATGATGAGAAGTCATGGCTGAAATAAATAGAAATAAACATCTTGTTTACTTACTGTACGGGGCTGAGCATATTTTGCAAACATAGGAAATTACAGCAATAAAGGAACATTAGCAGGGGAGTGGATTATTAAATCCAAGTCCATCGTTAGTGCAGAAATATATAAATCAAATAAAAATGTACTCAGGAAATTACTTTGAGAACTTTGCAAACCATCTTAATGTTCACAGTATCCAAGATGAGTACATTCCTATGTAGAGTAATATAGTAGTGGAAGATAAATTGTGTTTCACAGTCTTTCCTCCTTCACAATATATTTTAAAAATCTACCAACTTTCTTCTGTTTCATTAAAAAAAGAAAAATATGAAACATGCAAATATTTGGGGGCTGTTCAAAAAGGGATTCCTGCTTACCAACAGAAAAAGTTGATTTAGCCCTGTTTTTTTTTTTTTTAAGAAAAGTTATGAATTACTCA